TGATTGACAAGTATGATAAGGAGCTCTCAGTGTGCATTCTTTGACACTAATTCTTAGTCTGTAGCCCAGGCTAGCCTTGATTGAACTCTTCCTAAACCTCTTTGAAGCCAGAATATCCTGGGGCTCAGTGTGCTTCTAAGATAGTCTTGATGTGGTGATACTGTGTTTCCCAATATATTGTGCACCCTAATAAACTTATCTGGGGTCAGAGAACAGAACAGCCACTGGATTAGACACAGAGGTCAGTAAATGGTGGCACATACGCCTTTAATCCTAGCATTCCAGAGGCAGAGATCGGTCTGGATCGCTGTGAGTTCAAAGCCACACTGGAAACAGCCAGGCATGGTGACACACACCTTTAATCCCAGGAAGTGATGGCAGGAAGCAGAAAGGTCTATAAGGCATGAGGACCAGGAACTAAGTTTTGTGTAGCTTTTAGGCTTTTAACAGCAGTCCAGCTGAGATCCATTCCAGTTTGAGGAAACAAGATCAGCTGAGGAATTGGCGAGGTGAGGTTGGATGTGAATTGTTCTGTTTCTCTGATCTTTCAGCATTTACCCCAATACCTGCCTCTGGGTTTGTTTTTATTAATAAGACCTTTTAAGGTTCGTGCTACATCTTGAACTTCTACTGGTTCTCCTTCTTATATCTCCTCAGGGCTGGGAACACAGTTCTCAGAATGTTTTTTAAAATTTTAGACATGCTTTCTGTAATTAGCCCAGGTGTAGCCTGGGCTAATGCTCAAAGAATTGTCTTCTGGAGTCAGCTTCCTCAGGGCTAAGGTTCCAGAAGTGAATCCACACCATCAGTTGTCACTGCTCTGGCATTTTTGCTGTTCTGTTCATTAAGACTGATCTCTTTCTGTAACTCAGGATGGTTCAAACTAGTGATCGCCCTGAGCCTGCATCGGAAATGCTGCCAGGAAGTGTTTGGAGGAGTTGTCTAATCCAGTCACTAAGAGATTCCTAGAATATGAATATAGTCAGTACTGTTACTTTGTTGTTGTTGTTGTTGTTTAGAGAGCCACAGAAGACACTGCACATTTGGCTGTCACACCAGAACTGATGGAAGAGAATGGAAACGAGGAAATGGAGAATCCCTCAGGTACCAACTTCTAATAATGCTGCCTGTGAGGGAAAATATCCTGTGCCATGTTCTCCTCCCCAGTCTAAACTCAATTCCTAGGCCCCAAAGAGGGACAACTCTGAGGATGGGGGAGCTCTTCTCAGCATTCTGGGGTCCTGGTTTTCAGTCATGGCTCTCAAGGAATGAGTCAAGCTGTGAGCTTAAAATGGGGGAGCTTCCCATGTGGTGACTGCACCCTAGAAAACCTTCCCTATTTACTGACATGTATTGTAAAACAGAAAGACACCTACATTTGTCCCAGTGACCCTGTGTCGTGGTTGATAGGACTCAGGAAAATACTAAATCCAGGGCTTGTTTACAAGGCTTTCTCATTTCCCAAACATTCATTCCTCATAGTCTGGCTGGGATGGACCAGGAAGAATCTGAATAATGGGAGATGAGCATATGTGTGAAGTCTATTGCTCTCATCACACTCCTCTGCCCACGGAGGTCATTCAGTCAGATCGTGGAGTGACTGGGAGATCATGGTCTTCCTGCAGGAGTGGGAAGTAGTTGAACAGGAAGTTGGCCTCCCAGGGAGGGAGAACCAGAGGAAGTCCAGAGCTGTTTCCTAGAGACTCTATCACAGGGGCCTGAGGAAGAGCTGAAGGAGCTGGTTCCACCTGCTGCTGAGCTGCAGGGTCTGTACAGGACTCTGTAGAGGAGAGACCAAGGAGCAGACCCTTGTTTTCTCCTTATGTGTGGGCTCTGCACAGGATCCTGGGCTCCAGGCACTAACACAGACACTTTGCAGTTGTATTCTTTATTCTTTTCATCACGTATCCTAGGGAGTGGCATCCATGGCACAATTAATCCTCATCCCTAAGCAGAGCAGAGAATGACAAGACCACCCACTGCCCAGAGTTGCCCCTGCATGGGCAGGAAGCACTTGGCATTCTTCAGACTGGACTAACTCTGTGAGACCTGGGGGCTTGCTTTGGGACTTGTTCACAACAGAAATGACGAGGTGATTTCACAAGCACTGAAGGAAGGAGAGCATTGAGGATATGCTTAGAAGTTCTCTGTTTCTTTTTTCAGGTCCTCTCTGTGATGGTCACACCCACCTCCAGCTTGGCCTAAACCCTCAGAATTGAAAATTCATGACATGCTCAGTGTACCTCCAGACTCCTGTGTATGCCAGCTTCAGCACTGTGTCATGGCCATTGGGAATCTTCAGTTGGCACCATCACCAATGATAACTCTGCAGGATCATTTCAACAGGAGACCTCCCTGGTCACTGACACTCCTAGTTCATGACTCTGTTCCAGGAGAACAGATTAGGATGGGCCTGCAGGGTCACCTGGGAAGGCGATCAGGGACCTGACTTAACCCTTGCTTTCTGTTGTCATGTCCTTCTTTTCCTTTCCGGTTTTGTTAATTTGGATATTCTCTCTCTTCCTTTCAGTTAGTAGAAAAGAGTTGGTTGAATTGATTTTCCCAAAGAACCAACTCTGTTTTATGGATTCTTTGTATTGTTCTCTTTGTTTCTCTTTTATTGATTTTGGTCTTCAGTTTGATTGCATCTTACAATCTTGTAATTTTGGGTAGCTTAATTCTTTTTTTTTTTCTAGAGCTTTCAGGTGTGTTGTTAAGTTGCTAATATAAATTCTTTCTGGTTTATTTTTTTAATGTAGCCACCTAGTGCTATGAAGTTTCCTCTTAGCACCAATTTCATTGTGTCCCATAAGTTTGGGTGTGCCGTGAACTCATTTTCTTTGTTTGGTAGAAAGGCTTTCATTTCTTTTTTGGGGAGTGGGGGAGGTTTTATTGTTTGTTTCTGTTTTTGTTTTTTGTTTTGTTTTTCTTTATGTAGTTCTAGCTGCCCTGGAACTCACTTTGTAGATTAGGCTGGTCTTGAACTCACAGAGATCTGCCTGCCTCTGCCTTCTTGGTGCTGGGATGAAAGGCGTGCGACCACCACCGCCTGGTCTTTCATTTCTTTGTGTCTTAATCCATTTTTCATTCAGGAGAGAGGTGTTCAGTTTCTAGAGTTTGTAAGCTTCCTGTTGTCTCTGTTGTCGATACCAGCTTTATTCTGTGGTGATCTGATAAGGTACAGGAGGATATTTCCATTTTCTTGCATTCCTTGAGACTTGCTTTGTGTCTGAGGATGTGGTCAGTTTTGGAGAGTGTTCTATAAGGTGCTGAGAAAAAGCTATGCTCTTCTGTGTTTGGATAAAATAGTCTGAAAATATCTGTTATACCCACTTGTTTAACAACATTTGTTAGTGCCAGCATGTCCCTGTTTGGTGTTTGTCTGGATGACATGTTCATTGGTGTCCTTCCAGATCTCTTTGGAGTAGTTATGGTTTGAATTCTATTTTGTAAGATATGAAAATTGCTATACTAGCTTGCTCCTTAGACCCATTAGTGTCCAATATCTTTGTCCAACCTTTCACCCAGAGATAATGCCTGTCCTTGATGCTGAGGTGTGTTTCTTAGATGCAGCAGAAGAATGGCTCCCTTTTCACATCCATTCTGTGAGTCTGTGTATTTTTGCTGGGAAATTGAGACCATTGAAATTGTAAGACATAAGTGACCAATGATTCTTCATTCCTGTTATTTTGGGGGTGGTGGTGGTGGTAATGGTGGTCATGGTGGTGATCCTGTGTGTGTGTGTGTGTGTGTGTGTGTGTGTGTGTGTGTGTGTGTGCATGTGCACTTCCCTATTTTTGTATTTCTGGAGTGAGATTGTTTACTCTTCATGTTTTCTTGGATTTAGTTACCTGCTTACATTGGTGTTTTCCTTCTAGCCCCTTCTGTGAGGCTGGATTGTAGATAGGTAGTGTTTAAATTTGACTTTGTTCTGGACTCTCTTACTTTTTTTTTTTTTTAGAAAACTACTTTTATTCTATTAGTTGGAAAAATTAAATGGTACAGAAAAAAGTTTAGTCAGCTGGAGAGAAGAGAAAACCTCCCTTGTCACCCTTAAGAACTGGCTCCTCTGGGAGGCACCTTGGATGCAGTGTGGATAAAGGAGGACTGTGACTTAGAGAGAGCCAGACCCTGCAGTCCAGTGAGAAAGGCCATGCCCCCTCCAGGAGTAACTGCCTCAGGCGTGAAACCAAAGTCCTGTTTACTTAGTCCAGTCTGAAAAGGGGTACTGGGATGATATATAGGGCTGAATATATAGGGCTGAATAAGATATGGCCATATTTTATTAGAGAGAGTGAAATAATGGGGATTTAAAAAATGAAATTTCCATCTGACTTTATTTCCAAATACACTTTCTTTAAAAAAGAAAAAAGAAAAGAAAACCACAATACACTTCCTGTGGGAATGACAAATATCAGTATTAGGAAATCCAATTATACAAAAAATACTACATCTAGTCTGGGGTAGATATATTTATTTTTGGTAACATACATTGAGTGGCACTAATTACACAGTAACTATAAGGTAACTAACATGAGACCACAGAACTGTAAACTCTGCCACAGCTGCGTGGACTTGGGCCTTTCTGGCTGAACAAGTTTTCAAAAAACTGGATGCCTTCCCCAGAGCTCTGCCAATGGCATCTGTTAGGAGGAAAGCTCTGAAGTAGTGACTCACCAGAGTTCCTTGCAGCTGACAGACGAGAGGCAGGACATGTTAGTTATAAAGTAGTTACAGCCTAATTCACAAAAGTTACCAACTGTTTCTTTCTAGAAAGAAGCAAGAAGTTAAATTCTTTGCCTTAGCGCCTGGTGTCAGGTGGAGAGCAGATAGGGCTGTTAGAGCAGTGTCAGAAAGACCCTGACTGGGCAGACAGGTCGGACATCATTAATAATCATGGCTGGCTTCTAAATACTGGTAGCAAGATGATTTCTGATTTGTAATCTTAGGTAAATTATAGATAAATGAAAAGGCCAGTAATCATACACTAAGACTAATAGCACTTCAAAATTAACGGCATGAGGGCTGTGCTTGCACAAGGCTTCACAAAATGAGGCACCCAGATTTTTTCTTCCCACGTCTGGCTTGCAGAGCAGCTCTCGTGGCCATTTCAAAAACCTCTCTCACTCCATCTTTGGTCTTTGCTGAACACTCCAAGTACCCAAAAGCACCAATCCTGTTTGCCATATCTCTGCCTTCTTCAGGTTTTACCGGCTCCTGCTTCATTTTGGCTAACTCCCGTCTTGTGAGCTCATCATTCCAAAGATCCTTCTTGTTCCTAACCAGGATGATGGGCATGTTGGGACAGAAATGCTTGACTTCAGGAGTCCATTTTTCTGGGATGTTTTCTAAACTATCAGGTCTGTCAATGGAGAAACACATCAGTATATCATCAGTGTCTGGATAGGAGAGAAGCCTCAGGCGATCATAATCTTCCTGTCCAGCTGTGTCCCACAAAGCCAACTCCACCTGCTTTCCATCCACTTTGATATCTGCCACATAGTTTTCAAACACTGTGGGCACATAAACCTCTGGGAATTGGTCCTTACTGAAGACTATGAGCAAGCATGTCTTACCACAAGCTCCATCACCAACAATCACCAGTTTCTTCCTGATGGCAGCCATCGCTTACAAAGGTGCTGAAAAAACACACAGCTTCCATGACAGTGGTTGGACAAAGCAGCTGGAGGTTCTCAGATGCAAGGCTCAAGGCAATGACTCCGAGTCCGGCCTCTTCGAGCTCAGGATGCCTGTCCACGAGTCCTGTGGTGATTGAAAGGTTTTTCTGGGTATGGTAATATGGGCTGACATCTGTGGTTCATTAGTGTCTAAAGTACATGTGTCTAGGCTGTCTGGCTTAAAGAAGCCATTATAAGTCAGAGTAGTTCTAATAGTTCTGTCTTTATATGTTACTTGCTCTTTTTTCCTTGGAACTTTTTTGTTTGTTTGTTTTCGAGACAGGGTTTCTCTGTGTAGTTTTTGTGCCTGTCCTGGGTCTTGCTCTGTAGACCAGGCTGGCCTCGAACTCACAGAGATCAGCCTGCCTCTGCCTCCCGAGTGCTGGGATTAAAGGTGTGAGCCACTGCCACCCAGCGCCCTTGTAACCTTTAATATTCTTTTTTTCTCTCTGTATGTTTAATGTTTTGAATATTATGTGGAGAGGGGGCTTTCTTTTCTGGTCCAGTACATGTGGTGTTCAGTAAGCTTCTTTTTCCTTTATAGTCATCTCCTTTTTTAGGTTAGGAAATTTTTCTTCTATGATTTTGTTCAAACTATTTTCTGGGACTTTGAGCCTGGAATCTCCTTCCTCTATTCTATTATTCTTGAGTTTGCTTCTCTCATAGTGTCTCAGATTTCTGGATGTTTTGTATCAGGATATTTTTGGACTTAACATTTTCTTTGACCAATGTTATCCACTTCTTCAGTGCCCGAAGCTCTCTCTTCCATCTCTGGTATTCTATTGGCTAAGCTTGCCTCTGTAATTCCTGTTCAATTCCTAAGTTTTTTCACTTCCAGAATTCATTCAGTCTATGCTTTCTATATTGCTTCTATTCCTATTTCCAGGTCCTGAGCCATTTTATTCATCTTCAACTGTTTGTTATTTCATGGCTTTCTTTATGGGAATTATTTATTTCCTCAAATTGTTTGTTGGTGTTTTCCTAGAATTGTTTAAGGGATTTATTCATTTCCTCTTTAAGGACCTCTATCCTCTTCATGTAGTTGGTTTTCTGGTGTTTGTCTTTGGTTTCAGCCATGTTGGAATATTCAGGGCCTACTGTGCTAGGAATGCTGGGCTCAAGTGGAGACAATTTCCTGCCTGTGTTTGATGATTTTCTTCTGCTGCCGTCTAGGCATCGGGGCTTGGGGTGATTACAGGTCTAGGTGCTGATGCCTAAGTCTGTCCTTGTTAGGTGAGGGTTTTCTTCATTGGTTTCTGCTTTCTCTCTGGATTGTCAGAGAGTGTGATGGCTGCGTCTTGCCATTTTACTGGCCTGCTCAGCTGGGAAGTTCACAGGAAATGGCTGCTGGTGTTGGAGGCTGAGATGCAGTGACAAGTGGGGGAAGGAGGTCAGGAGGGGGTGGTCTGTGGGATCCACAGGAAGCCTGGACAGGGGAAAAGAGGCTGCAGCTGGTGTTCTGTTGCTGGGGTAGGGACAAGCCTGAGTACTGGGTCTGCTGGGGGAACAGAGAGAGCAGAGAAGATCTGCAGACAGGCTACCTGGTCTTCTGTGAGGCCTGATCTGTTCTTGAGCAGGGGTGTCCCCCTGAACTGAGGGCTGGGACACAGGGATGAGTGGGAGCAAGGAGGTCAGGAGGGGGTTCTCTGAGAGACCCACAGAAGGCATGGAGAGGGAGGAAGGGAGGCTGGCTCTCTGTTGCAGTGCTGGAGAGCTGAGGGTTGGGTCTGCTGAAGAACCAGAGAGCCTGAAATGGGTTGTTAAATGTAAGGGAGGAGACGAGAAGACCCAGAATGCTAACGTGGAGTCTGAAATGTGTAAAGGTACTTGTGAGGCTGCAGGAACCTGGAAGCCAGCATGCACTGTGGAATGCTGACATGGAGTCTGAAATGTGTAAAGGTACTTGTGAGGCTGCAGAAACCTGGAGGCCAGCATGCTTTGTGGTGTGCTGACAGCCACCACAGCAGCCATCTCTCTGCTCCTTGGAATTCGGGTCAGTGGAGGTTCTTTTGCACCTAACATTTCAGCCTTTCATTGATGATAAGAGGCGACATACTCTCTTAGGTAACTAATTTTTATGATATTAGGACATCATTTTCAGAGTCCAGAAGGCTGAATGGTGGTCAAGAGCCAGGAGTTGGAAAGGACTCAGGAAATGATAGGAAGCATATGGATTACCATCCAGGCTTGAAAGGACCACCTGGGACTAGCAAAGTGAAGGAGGCTTTGGAGCAGTCTGGGATTCTAAGCCAAAGCAGGAGCTCAAGCCAATAGGCAGTGGTAGGAGACCTGGCAAAATCCTCTCAGAAGCATCTGGTTTGCATCTGCTTTCAGCAAGTCCAGGGATGGCTGGTTCTGTAGGACCACCTGGGGCTGGCATGTTGTAGGCTATTTTGGAGCAGTTTGCAGGCTGCAGTTGATTTATGGATGGTGTCTGTCAACCGCGTGGAAATCTGTTGGGGCATTCATAGATACAGATAGACGGTAAAGAGGCTTAGGGGACAGTCCTTTTTGTGTACACTTGAAACTTGCAGGCCAGTGCTCCTGTATTTGGAGGGGGGGATGAAAAGTCAGGAAGGAAATATATTTATTGGACAAAGACATTTACAGCATATGAGGCACATTTTTATGTCTATATTCAGAAAACACCCTAAGGAAATTTAGATGTTGAGCATGTCACTATGATAATAGTAGCCAGGTCTTTACCAAGTCTAGATGAACAGTTTATCAGTACTCCATGGATGAGATATGACAAGAATAAATTACAGCAGGAAGTACAATCTGTAGTTTTCTTTTTATTTTTTACTCTTATGGGTGCCTACCTTGCAGCTCCCAAATGAATACACGCAGATTTATTCTTACTTATGAATGCCGGGCCTTGGTTAGGCTTATTTCTACCCAGTTTCTCTTAACTTAAATTTTCCCAGCTACCTTTTGCCTCTGGGCTTTTACCATTTTCCATTCTCTATATCCTTCTTTCTTTCTTACTCCCTGGCTGGCTGCATTGCTGGGTGGCTGGTTCCTGGAGTTCTCCTCCTCCTCCTCCTCTTCCTCCTCCTCCTCCTCCTCCTCCTCCTCCTCCTCCCTCT